GTTTCTTCATGTAGATTATATTTAAACTAGGGTTTGTTAATGTTGATTATTATTAAATCAAAGTTTCTTCATGTAGATTATATTTAAACTAGAGTTTGTTAATGTTGATTATTATTAAAGTATCTTCATGAAGATTGATTGATATTATTAAACTATAGTTCCTTCATGTAAAGTATTATTTTAAATTATTATTAAACTTTAGTATTTTCATGTAGATTAAAACAAAACAACACTTATAAAGTATTATTAAATCAAAGATTCTTTATGTAAAATATTCTAATAAAACAAATTCTTCATATGGATTATAGTAAAGAAACTTCCTTCATGTAAGTATAGTTTTTCTACATGTAGATAGATTATTATGAAACTAAAGTTTTTCATTAGATAATTAATAATTAACCAAAGTTTCTTGTTTTAAATTATTATCAAGCCATAATGTCGTTATGTAGATTATTATTAATGAACCAAAGTTTATTCAAGAATATTATGATTAATAAACGAAACATTTTACAAATAGTTGTTTTTAAACTAAAGTCTTTCATATAGATGTTAATATTGAAATGTTTTATGTCAACTATTGTTATTCAGTCATTGTTTATTCATGTGGATTATTATTAAAACATTCTTCATGTAGATTATTAATAAAACAATATTCTTCGTGTAGATTATTATTAAAACATTCTTCATGTAGATTATTAATAAAACAATATTCTTCGTGTAGATTATTATTAAAACATTCTTCATGTAGATTATTAATAAAACAACATTCTTGTAGATTATTATCAAAACATTCTTCATGTAGATTATTATTAAAACATTCTTCATGTAGATTATTAATAAAAGAACATTCTTCGTGTAGATTATTATTAAAACATTCTTCATGTACATTATTAATAAAACAACATTCTTCGTGTAGATTATTAATAAAACAACACTCTTCGTGTAGATTATTAATAAAACATTCTTCATGTACATTATTAATAAAACAACATTCTTCGTGTAGATTATTAATAAAACAAATACTCTTCGTGTAGATTATCAATAAAACAACACTCTTCGTGTACATTATTAATAAAACAACATTCTTCGTGTAGGTTATTAATAAAACACCACTCTTCGTGTAGATTATTAATAAACAAACACTCTTCGTGTAGATTATTAATAAAACAAATACTCTTCGTGTAGATTATTAATAAAAGAAACACTCTTCGTGTAGATTATTAATAAAACAAACACTCTTCGTGTAGATTATTAATAAAAGAAACACACTTCGTGTAGATTATTGATAAAAGAAACACTCTTCGTGTAGATTATTGATAAAAGAAACACTCTTCGTGTAGATTATTGATAAAAGAAACACTCTTCGTGTAGATTATTAATAACACA